TTATTCATATTTTATAGCTTTATGATAATACACTGAAGTGGCTACTCATATATATATATATATATATATATATATATATGTTCATACGGCCTGTGCTACTGTAAACACTTCAAATATCACTATTGCATTACTTCAGTAGGCTTACAGTATTTCTTAAAATGAGAGAAAAAGTTGAATCAAATCAGTAACGTAAAGAATGTAAACAAATTTGTTAGGTATTAAATTTCATAATACAGAGAACTTGGCTTGGTGGACTCAATGTTTTTTGTAGCCCTGTGTGTAGGAACATTTCACTCCTGCTGCTGGGTAATAAATACATCAACTGTTCAAGACACACATCTATCTGTGGTGTGATTCAGCTGCTCTTTTCTTCCTTAACAGCTTATCTTTGTTGAGGCTTGGGAACACAGAAACAAACATTTCCTGTTTTATTCAACAGGAAGTCCAGGGAACAAGCCATTATGGAATAACAATTGATACACGTTATGTTAAGTCAACACACAAAACTGTTTTTCATCCAAAGTCGCTGGTCCTAAATCACTAAAGGGGCCGGGACAGGTCAGGAGAAATACCTGAATGCTGACAGCTCCAACCAGCTTCCATGACTAAAGTCAGAAGCAGGACACAATTTCATTTGTTGGTACCCCTCAAGGTGGCAAAACTAAGTAATAGTTTATGAAAATGTTCACGTCCGTAGATGATATTTTGGTATGATGACGTGATAGACCCGTCTACTGGCCAGGTGTGATTGCACCTATTGTCAAATAAAGCTGTACAAACATGCTATGTAGGTTGTTGAACTATACGAATCAGTATGTCAGGTATTCAGAAGTGTATTGTTGTTAAGACTGTATGGATGTGCACAGGCTGGTGGGGCATCCTTCCTTATCCCTCTCTCCCTATCTCTCCTTCACACAATGTTTGCTCAGTGGTAATCATCTTAACATGCACAATAACAATGAGGGTTAAGTTAGCACTTACACAGTCAGTTTATTTATTCCTTATTGACCTCATTCATTACTGTATATGTCGTACACTAAAAGAGCAATGTAAACCAGTCAAATTCCTTGTATGTGTAAACATGCCAGTAATAGGCCTACTGATTCTGATTCTGATGTCCAAGCTCACGTGACAGCCAATCACACACTTCCAGCTAGCACTTGAGTGAGAAGTGTACTGAACCTCATTTGGAACATTTGGCTTATTATTATTATTATTAATGATTTAAGAAACACATTTTATTTTGAAACTATAAAATGACTCTACCTCAAAGCATATTGTTACAAACTACATTTGTTTTTAGCCCTGCCTGTCACTGCCAATTACAAGCTACTTCAGATGAGTATAAGAGATTTCTGCCTGTCATTCTTTTAATTTATGGCTCACAATATCGTCTCTCAATGAAGTAGTATGGGTATATTACGCATTGCCTGAATCCTTAGAGTCCTTTGATTATTTCAGTTTCTGAGTTTTGTGTCTCTGATGTGTCTTGATGCTTGAAACATTGAAAAATGTTGAAAATGCCCCTGAGACTAAAACAGGATACACACCAGCGTCTAAATGAGATTAACTTTAGGGGGTGGTTCACTTCATTCGTTACTGTGACACAGCTGCCACTCAGGAATGTCTATCATACCAAAATATCATCTACAGACATGGACATTTTTATAAATGATTACTAAGTTTTGCCACCTTGAGTGGTAGCAGAATCTGGTCTGGCCTATGGACTAACTGAGTGTAATGTGAATGATAAATCCAACAAGAATTTTCACAGAATGTGCAGTAATCTGCAGTTCACCTCATATTTGCTCTGTGTCTGCAGAACTAGTAAATTCAAAAAAAAATTTGGTAGCTGTAGTAAAGTCAATGTTGGGTTCACAGTTGATTGTGATGTCTTGAAATGTAAGTTACCATGAGGAGTTATAATCCGTAGAGTAAAACTAAGATGTAGCGCAGGAAGCACTCGGACAAGTGCAAAAGAAAAAAATAATCTTATTTTGTGGGAGTCTAAACTTTCCAGAAGTACATGGAGTTTGGAACATGTTGATGTTTTCCAGGCAGGGAGAGTCTTGTTTGAATATGTTATTATTACTGGGTATCAAAAGAAGACAAGTGGGTAAGTTAAGTCGAACTTTAATAAGTTTGATTTTTACATTTGTAACAGTAATGTGTGCAACAAAACCGTACAGTCAGCCTCAAGTTGGCCAGCTCAAAAGATAGTTTTCTTGGTATACATACATGAAATAAATTCACAATCTACACTTAAAAGTACATGAAGATTACAGTACAGTTTTCTAAACTGAGACGCAGTCTCAAATTAAGCCACTAGATTACATCTTCTTATGTTTATCTGACCAGTGTCATTATAATACACGCTGGTGTTCACCGAGATGTGAACTGCATTTCCAAAAGTTCATGCCGTAAGTGGTTCAGTTCATCAAAACAACAGAAAGCTTCAAACAAAGAAAAGGGCAGCCACAATATGGGCTCACAGCTAACCTAGCCTTACAAGGCAAGAGACGAGTTTGAACAGAAAAGAGGAGTACCTGCTGCACAGGGGAACTCAGACGCTGCTTTTCTTTTTTTAAACAGCTGCACAAACGTATTCTACTCTGAGCCACGCTATTGAAAACAAACATATTACTTTGCAGCACCACTCCATGGTCAGAAGTTCTGGCATTTCTACACTCCACCATGCGTGATTTCAAACTTCAATTTCAGAGTTCATCTACGCCACGGAAAAAAGGGACACACGGTATCATCACTGTCCACTGGTGCAGATAGGCTAAATTCCATTTACTTCCCTTGCTTTTGGGTGGGTGGGTGGGGGGGGGGCAAAAGGTCACAGAGACAAATAACAGAGTCTGCGTGGCACTAGAGATGAAAATAGAAATGTGTATTTAGCATGAATAGACCCTGTAAAATTTTTATTTATTTTTTTCAGTTTCCACCCATTTGTTACAAATAATTAGTCAGGGAAATGTGTTGGAGAGACACTGGACTTGATCATGTCAATACTCAACATGACCGAATTTTAATAACAAGAAAACTTAAGTGATGAAATGAGAAATTTAAATCAAGGTCCTCATATTATTCTTTTAGAGTTTTCAACACTATTGTAAGATCTTCATTAGTGCAGACTGTAAGATATAGCTGACAGCTTTAAAAAAAAAAAAGATAGAAACTTACTGGTCAAATTATATCGCCAAACACAATCTCAATAGTGCATTTGAGAAAATAATGGTAAACCAGGAGAACGCACCGTGTCTCTCTCTCTCTCTCTCTATTGATCAAGGCCATGATATCTGGAAGCTAAAAAGAAAACCTAGGATGTGGCCCTTGAGTGGCTTTATGTTGTAGATGACTTCAAGTTTGACCTAATGGTATAAAATGAAGTATGATTGTGCAAATGCAAGGTCTTTATCTCTGATAAACGGAATCATCAGAGAAACAGACAGAGGAGCAATTACAAAATGTTTTCAAGAAACGCCGGCCATGTTTCTTTTTCATAGTTTGAAATGAAAGGCAAGTAATGCTGTGCAATTATCTGCAGTTAAAATGATGGAAATGAAGTGATGTCCCTTAAAGGAGAAACAGCACATTCAAAAGACTTTAACTTTGTCTGATAGAACACTTTGTGGAAAGGTGTCAAATGTTTTTTGTTTTTTTTGCCAGCAGTTAAATTGTTGCCTCGTCATCATAAGCAGAGCACATAAGTTAACACAAGACGAGCATAAACATCAGGTGCTGTCAAGAGATAAAACGGCCTGTTCGAAAAACCTTTGAAGAAAATGACACAACCCAGCAGGACTGTTGGTCCCATTATCACTGCTCCGTCTCTGAGAATCATAGGAAATGATCCGTCAGTTGTCTTGAGGCACAGTGGAATGGATATCACATCACACACAACGTCTACCTCACACTTTGCCTTCTGCCAGGCAGGAAACAGAAGAAACAACAGGTCGACTCTGTCACATATATGTTACCTAAACACTGCCTTTCTTTAACACCCCTGTCTTCTTTCTAATCTGAATGAAGCACAGACTTTATTTTACTTAACGGGCCACAAGAACCAACCAGGCTACTGGCCAGGACTATAAGGTACTTTTCTTAAATGATCTATTGCACTCAACCAAGTAAATAAACTGAATGCTTGTAGATTTCGACCTCTGACCCTTGTGAAAATGGAAAAGAAAGAGGCCACAGTTTAACAATAATGTGCAATTTCAATTTAGGTAGATCTGTTTCACTTGAAGTTAAAGGCCCGTCAGCCGAGTCAGTTTCTGTAATAAAATCTCTTGGAGCATATTATTTAAGAAACAAAAATCGTATGAACACTAACTTATGTGTCTTCTGTTAGCCTTGTTTTTCAAGAATCTGATTTTTCAGTTTGGACATGCCACTTTTTGTTTTTGCAAAAATATGAGCCTTTAGAAAAGCATCTGCATTAAAATGCTTTAAAGCTACCTTATGTAACCTTCTATAAATAGATTATATTGCCTATGATCTGATTGGATTAAATGGCTAAGAAGCTGTCGAAGCATGAGTCTGGTGTTGCATTATTATTTTTCTTCTTTTCAACAAATCCCATGTGCAGAAATGAACCCTCATTTGAATGTATTTACGGTTAAGTATTGTGTGTGTAATCCAAAAGCTTGAGTGCTCTTTTTCTAATGTTAGAGCTCCATTGTTCACCGTAAATACACTTAAAAAAATCATTCACTGGCGACCATGATCTAATTAGCCACAAACTGACCGTGTCTGGTTTTGTTTTTTTTACTATATCCAAAAGACACTGTCCAGTTTCTTTTAGATATAGTCCATGGAACTTGTTGGCAAGAGGAAAAAAAAATGAACACCAGACTTGAACAGTCCTTTAACAAAAAGTAACAATCAACTGTTTCCCACTCAATGTTGTGCAAAGTCCTGGTGATGTTCTGGGCTCAGTGTTCTAGCTGTAGACAGCAGTGAGTAAGTTCACAAGCAATAGTGTGAGTATGGGGGTGGGTTTTTAGGGGCATCAGATTTAAAAAAAAAAAAAAGAAAAGAAAAAAAAAAGTAAAGACAAAAAAGACGCAGAGTCTCTTATTTTTTGCTACGCAGCCGTTTGGACTGTCGCGGAAGATCCGAGCTCTTTCTGGTGCGTTTGAGTGATGATGCTCCATCGCTCTCTGCCTCTCTGGCTAGAGAAGCTGCGGCCACGCTGCCACTTGCTAACACAGTAGCAGATGTGCTGGCAACAGTGGAAGACACAGCAGTGCTGCTGGATGTAGAGGGTGCAGCTGTGCTAGGCCTGGGTCCTCCCAGAGCAGCGGCGCTACTGTCCATCAGTTCGCGGAGCTTGTGTTCCAGCTCGGCAAGGCGAGCGTTCTGCTCGCCGATCACCTGCGTCTGTTCCAGCAGCTTCTGCTCCTGATCCTGCAGCTGCTTCTGCTGCTCCAGCTGCTTAACGCGAATTTCCTGCATCTCCCTCCGCAGTACTGTCATGGACGCCCCGTTCACCTTTACCTGCTGCTGCACCTTGGTCATCTCAGAGCGGGATGGCGTGTTCTTGGCCAGCAGGGACATGGTAGTCAGGGAGGTAGATGGACCTGCCACTGAGGGATCAGAACAGTTAGTGGACTTGCTGCATGTTTTTTAGCATGAAAATATTTTACACTTCATGCCAGCATTCGCCCTTTCACACAAGCATTCAATTACGACGGGATGTTAAAGTACCAATCTGTCCATCACACTAATGTAACCCCTTTCACACAAATACAACTTTCTGATGCACGGTAAGCGTGTGACTGTGTGTGATTCTACATTCATTTCTATGTCTGTTAGACAGAACGGTACTGGAGCCAGAGGAGAGCTTGGAAACAAACAAACTCGACATGTCTCAGACCTCTATTCCATTTAAAACCCAATATGAATGTATCAACACATGTCAACCTTTCTAATGCATTAGAGACTTTATAAGTGGTGTAAGGTGTAGTCGTTTTCTGCATCCTCAAGATAAGAAAGCACCATATTTGCACCTGACCCCACCCCCCTCTCATTTCAAGACAAACACCCCTGGGCGCTAACAGAAGCGCAAATTAATTTTGCTATTTACACAACCTGAGTGTTGAGCGTTACAGGTTACATATTATAGTCCTTTACAAAAACCTTAAAGAAGTCTCAGAGGTCCTTAAGTATGTTGTAATGTAAATTTAAAAAAAAAGGGTGCCATTTTAATCACATATTGTAATTTTCATGTTTAGAGTTAAATAATTGAAAGTTGCTTTGCATAAAGTGGATTTTTTTTCTTTTTGACTTCATGTGCGAGCACAAAGGAGTTAACATTACCTGGTGCTGAGCCGATAAGGCGACCAGACAGGTCAGCCCCAGGCAGCTTCTTCTTCAGGATGGGGACTATCTTTTCATCAAAATACTCCATGGCCATGGAGGAGATGTCCCTCAGCTCTTGTAGAACCTCATGAGCTCGCTGGGGGGCTCGAGTGGAGTTTACGTAGCGCAACACACGATAAATCTCATCAATAACCTGACAGCACAGAACAGAACCTGATCAGGACATCGCATATGAGGCAGGAAAAGCAGACAACAGACATGAGGGAAACATGAACTGCTCCTGTAACACATCTATAGGCCCTCTGCTGGCAGCGCGACATTCATATTACAGTTAAACAAAAATACAGGCTTTATCTATAAAGAGGAACACAAAGGACCCATAGACACACAGCTATGTGGAGCATGTTATATTTAGGTTTGGAGTCCTGCTGCCACTTAGAGGAAAGAATAGGCATGCATCCATTCTTTAAAAAAAAGAACAATAATTCAACAAATGAAAATAACCTTCCAGTTCATCTTTTACAAAGATGTGTCTCTCTCTGTTGGTTGATCTATTAAGAAATATGTTACCTCATGTCAACTCCATCTTGTTTTTTAGTCACAGATGGACATCGGG